TCACCGACAGGTGAGAGAATTTTTGGGGTCAGCGAGTTTTTGTCATCTTTGGATTCCAAGTTTTGCTGTGTTAGCAAAGCCTCTCCATCAAGCAACGAGAGGGAGTAATACAGAACCTTTTGAATGGACAGATGAGTGCGAACAGGCTTTCTGGAAAATTAAGAAAGCATTGCTAGAAGCACCTGCCCTAGGCCTTCCTGACCTTACCAAGCCTTTCACTCTGTATGTGGGAGAACGACAGGGACTGGCTGTAGGAGTCCTTACTCAGCTTCTAGGAACTTGGTCTAGGTCTGTTGCTTATTTGTCTAAACAACTGGACACAGTTGCCAAAGGATGGCCAGCCTGCCTACGAGCTGTAGCAGCAGCAGCAATGATGGCAGAGGAAGCCACTTCAGCTTAAAACACCACATGCAGTTGTTACCTTGATGGAACACAAAGGTCATTGGTTCACAAATAGCCGAATGTTAAAATATGAAAGCCAGTTGATTGACAACCTAACGGTCACTCTGTCAGTTTGTTCAACTTTGAATCCTGCCTCTACTTCCAGTGGATGAAACAACTCTTAATCAACACGACTGTCTTGAGACCATGGATGAAGTATATTCCAGCAGACCGGACTTGAAAGATGTGCCATGGAAGAGTCCAGACGTCGTCCTTTTCACAGATGGAAGCAGCTTCGTGGAAGATGGACAGCGCAGAGCGGGTTATGCAGTTGTGACCGCTGAAGGAAAGATCTTAGAAGCAGAACTGCTACCTCCAGGGACTTCAGCCCAAAAAGCTGAACTCATAGCCTTGGCCAGAGCTTTGAATCTGTCTGAAGGAAGAACTGTCAATATCTACACTGATTCTAAATATGCCTTTACAACTTTACATGCACATGGAGCTGTATACAAAGAAAGAGGACTACTGACCTCTGCTGGCCAGCAGATTAAACATGCTCAGCAGATCCTGGACTTGTTGGATCCAAAGAAAGTTGCTGTTATGCGCTGCAAAGGACATCAGTATGGAGAAGACCCTGTGGCTAGAGGGAACAGATTGGCTGATGAGACAGCCAAGGAAGCAGCTCGCCGGAAGATTACAACAGTGTGTACTTTTTCTACAGAATCAATGCTTCCTGCTACGGCTACCTACACAAAAGAAGAAGAAGCATGGGCCATAGAAGAAGGGGCTACTTGGAATAATGGATTCCTCATGCTACCAAACCAGAAAGTTTTTGTTCCACATGCTGTCGCCTGGGAACTCATTCATCAGCTACACCATCAAACTCACATTGGAGCCACTGGGTCCTAAGTGGAAAGGTCCATAGCCAATCCTGTTGACGACACCAACTGCAGTGAAACTAAACGGTATTCGGGCCTGGATTCATTATACCAGGATCAAGCGAGCGCCTCCAGACTGGTTGGTGTCCCCTGTCAACGGTGATTTACCCCGACTGCGGTTCAAAAAGATCCAGAACCAAAGACGTGATCAAGTGTAAACGAAAGACAACGTGATCAAGAATAAACCAAAAACAACATGATCAAGAGTATCCTCTCCTTGGGAGAGTTAAATATATGGCAGAAGAAACTTGTGTGACTCTAAATACTACAGTTGCCGTTAGTACACATTTAGGACATTACCCCACCTGTGAGATGATTGTAACTTTCTATGACAATAAGGTTTTGTGCATTAATCAAACTGAAAATGCAAATCTCTCTTCACCTTTGCAATGTAATGATGTAAATGGAGCAGGTATAATTCGGTTATACAATAATTTGGTAGCTGAACAAGCCCTATGGAAGGTATATGAGTCAAGTACCTTACATAGTCCAACTGGTACGGGAGGATTGCCCCTGGGACTGTTTTGGATTTGTGGAAATTGGGCAGGAAAAATGTTACCTCCTGTATGGAATGGCACCTGTACATTGGGAAGCCTACTCCCGGCTGGGATAAGAGAATACCCCCCCCCCCTTTTTAAATAATCTTTATTGAAGTTTTTCATAAATAGATTAAAAAAAAGAATATACATATAGGTAAAAGTGGGGAAAGAAAAAAAATAGAGTAGGTAAGGGGGAAGGGTGGAAAAGTGGGGGTGTAAGAGAGAAATAAGGGAACGGGGAGAAGAAAGAAGAAAAAAAAGAGAAAAAAAAGTGAGATAAAAAGCCAAAAGAAAAAAAAAAGAAAAGAAAAAAAAGAACAAAACAAAAAAAAACCAGAGAGATATCTCGACCTCCTGGTGTCTTCCGAAAATCTTCTGTTCATTCATATCCTAAGGGAAAAAAAATAAACTTCTTTATTTTCCTTCTCTTCTGTTATTCTTTCCCTTCTTCTTTTGGTTTTCATCTTCATTTCTCCTCTTCCCTCTAGATCAATGTCTCTTTCTTCTTTTCCCTTAAATAATTGGTGACATCTTTCCAGTCTGTTTCTTTTCTTCCAGTTTCCTAATTTTTCAATAGTAGAAAAGTAAGTCTGTCTAAGTTGCTGATATCTAACATTTTTATTATCCTTTCGTCTTCTTCTGGTGTTTCTGTTTGTCTCCATTTTTTTGCATAACACATCCTTGCAGCCGTTAGTGCTAGAAATAATATTTTGTCTTTATCTTTTTCCAAGTTGTTATCGTACATTCCAAGCAGAAACAGTTCTGGTTTCCTTGGTAGTTTTATTTTCAGCATATTTTGAATTTCTTTTTGTATCATCTTCCAGTAGCCTTTCGCTTTCTCACAGGTCCACCACATGTGAAAGTAGGAACCTTCCTTCTTCTTACACTTCCAACAGGTCGAACTTGTGTTGTTATATATTTTCCCTAGTTTTTTTGGAGTCAGATACCATCTTAATGACATTTTAATCCAATTTTCCCTAAGATCAGTGGCGTATGTATATTTTAATCTTTTTCTCCAGATTTCCTTCCATTCTGTTTGTCTGATATTTCTTCTTAGATTTTCATTCCATCTTTTCATGTAATTTTATCTCCTCTAGATTCTAATTGCTATTCTAATAATTGTTTGTATAATTTTGTTATTAGTTTCCTTTCTGTTTCTAATATTCTGTCCCAAAATTCTTTACCCTTTGAGAACCCTACTTCTTTATCTAATTTATACTTCTCCTTAATTTGCCAATATTGTAGCCATGATATTTTTTTTATCTATGGTGATTAGTTCCTGTTGTTCTTTTAAAATTAATTCTCCTTGATAATTTTTCAGAATTTCATTAGCAGGGATGCTAATGCAGCATAAACTGGCCTTTGATTACCTGTTGACCAAGCCCCCCTGTCTTTGTGTGTGGCTCAATACAACGTGCTGTCATTATATCAACAAGTCAGGCCAGATTGAAGAAGATGTTGCCAAACTCCATAAGATTGTTGCTACAGTACGATCTACCTACTCCCCAGCAGGTGAAAGTTGGTGGAGTTGGCTAACCTCATGGTTACCAGATTTTGGATGGTTAAAAGGATTATTCTTGGGTATTGTCCTGTTGATTATTGTATTTTTTATAATGGTGATGTGTTTTCCCATCATCATGAAGCTGTGTTATAAGTTCACCACAAGTGCGGTTCCCACTTTACGGCAACTGGTAGTGATTACAAGAATGCCGGGGCATCGTAAAAGTGTTATAACTAGATATTGATCTTGCTTCAGCTTCTGTATGATCAGCTTTCGCAAAAAGAAAATGGAGGAGTGAAAGGGTTAACAGAACTTAGAAATGTTGAAATGCAAACCTAAAGAGGGGTTTGTCCCTCTCCTCTGGCCTGCAGAAGACCAAAAGTCAAGAGGAGATAATGTATCTAGAAGACACAAGATGCTCTATTGTCAAGTACGCCCAGGGAGTACCCAGGGTGGGTTAACACCCAAAATGCTTATCTGTAACAATAATGTGTGTGTTTACATTGTTTGTAGAGGGTTATCCGTTAAATACACTGAAGTGGCAAAATATGAGAAAAACATGTTTTTGAATGGTTGATCCGATAAGAGGGGTGTGTGCCCATGACACAGTGAAAAGACATGTATATAAGGAGACTGAAAGATCCAAATGGCAGAGACAGCTCTCTTTGAAGACACTGGTCTGTATTGGCTGTTTCTCCCTGTGTGGCCAAACTTGAAATCAAGAGATTTTTGCTTCACCTACGGAGACTGCTTGCCTTCTGTTGCCAGCATTGGGGTGCCTAACTAAAGGGGTACCCTTCAAAGGCCTATTTCCCCCAAACTCCATCTGTGTTCATATTTGGGCGTATTGAGTGCTTGTGCCAAGTTTGGTCCAGATCCAGCATTGTTTGAGTCCACAGTGCTCTCTGGATATAGGTGAACTACAACTCCCAAACTCAAGGTCAATGCCCACCAAAACCTTTCCAGTATTTTCTGTTGGTCATGGGAGTTGATGGAGTTCAGAATGGTCTTTGATTGTAAGTGAACTACAAATCCCAGCAAGTACAATTCCCAAACGACAAAATCATAATTTTTGAGTTTTTTTTTTATTGTCGTGTCAGGAGCAACTGCTCCTGTTGTGAGAGAATTGGCCGGGACGCCTGGATGATTTTTGATGTTTTATCATCCTTGTGGGAGGCTTCTCTCATGTCCCCGCATGAGGAGCTGGAGCTAATAGAGGGAGCTCATTGCCGGCACAGTGCTTTAACCCACTGCGCCACCAGGGGCTCCTATTTTTTGAGTGATGGTCACTCCTTGTGTTGTGAGACGTTTTGTTGCCAAATTTGGTGTGATTTTGTTCATTGGTTCTTTTGTTTTTAAGATACTCATTATGCACAGAGCATTTATATATATATATATATAGCTTTTCTACATATTTTGATCAGGACTGGAGCGTTGATCCACCTATTCTGAACACACAGGGCTGATCTTTGCCTGAGATAAAGAAGCCTCACCCCGCTTGGAGCAGGAAGAGCAGGCGTGCCGAGACGGGCCAATCCCGGCGTGTGTCATTTGCATAGCCCCTCCTACGACTCGGCAGGGCCAGGCAAAGGAGGCGGAGGCTTTCTGAAAGTCCTCGCTTGGCGCTGGGAGGCGCCGCTGGCTTCCCCTTTAAGAGCAGAAACGTATGCAAAATCCGATGGGCGGGGAAAATGCGAGCGGGCCAATGGGAGGGCGAGGTTTTCCGCGGGAAATCCGAATTTCGCGGGACGTCGTTTGGCGCTAAAAAAAGGGCCGAGAGGAGGAAGGAAGGAAGGGAAGGAAGGAGGAAGGGCGCTGCCTGGCTGTCCCGTCCCAATCCGGGCCCATCCTGGTTCCCCTGCAAGCCAATGCCTTGCAAAGACAGGTAGAGAAAGCGAGAGAGAGGCCAGGCTGCGGCGCCGGCCCTTTTTGTTTGCCGAGGAAGGCCGCCGGTGGCGATGCCGCCCGGACGCGGGTGAAGGCCGGCCTGGCCTGTGAATGGGCCGAGGAGGAGAAGGAGGAGGAGGGCTGCCCCGTGGCCTGGGCCATGCTGAGCGCCCCCGCTTTCGCCACCCCGCACCGGGCCCACGGGCGTCCCCTCCGCAAGACCCCGGTAAGGAGACACCCCCCCCCCCCGCAGGCTAATACGTACAACTAGTGGTAGGGTTTGTTTACATGTACATAACAACGCAACACACATGCCCATAAGGCCCAGGTGTCTAGGGTTCAGCTCTTCCCAAGGGCCTGGGGTATTAGAGATATTATTATGGTATTATATATCATTATAATTTATTACATGCACATAATGTAGGACATATGCATGTGATGTACAAGTGCCTGGGGTTCGGCTCTTCCCAGGGGCCTAGGATATTAGAAGTATTATTATTATTATATATATTAGTTATTACTATTATTATATTATAGATTATTATTATTTATTTTACATGCACATAACAACACAGCACACATGCCCATGAGGCCCAAGTGTCTAGGGTTCGGCTCTTCCCAAGAGCCTGAGATATTAGAGATATTATTATATTATATTTTATTATTAGAATTAATTACATGGACATAACATAGCACATATGCATATGATGTACAAGTGCCTGGGGTTCGGCTCTTCCCAGGGGCCTAGGATATTAGAAGTATTATTATATTTATTAGTTATTACTATTATATTATAGATTATTATTATTTATTTTACATGCACATAATAACACAGCACACATGCCCATGAGGCCCAAGTGTCTAGGGTTCGGCTCTTCCCAAGTGCCTGGGGTATTAGAGGTATTATTATGATATATATTATTATATTATATATTATTATAATTTATTGCATGTACATAACACAGCACAAATGCACCTGAGGTCCAAGTGTCTGGGGTTCGGCTCTTTCCAAGGGCCTATTAGAAGTATTATTATTATATAATATATTATATTATATATTATAATTTATTGCATGTACATCCCACAGTACATGAGGTCCAAGTGTCTGGGATTTGGCTCTCAATATCAGGCTCTTCCCAAGGGCTTTATTATTATTATATTATATAGTATTATAATATATATTATTTCTCTAACATATATATAACAATAAATCACACTTGCACATGAGGTCCAAGTGTCTGGGGGATTGGCTCTTCCCAGGCGCCTAGGATATTAGAGGCATTATTATTATATTTATGATTCATTATTATTATATCGTATATTTTTTATCATACATTGTTATAATTTATTACATGCACATAACACAGCACACATGCACATGAGGTACAAGTGCCTGGGGTTCAGCTCTTCCCAGGGGCCTAGGCTATTAGAAGTATTATTATTATATTCATTCTTACTATTATTATATTATAGATTATTATTATTATTTATTTTAAATGCACATAAGAACACAGCACACATGCACATGAGGTCCAAGTGCCTAGGTTCGTCTCTGAATATCAGACTCTTCCCAAGGGCCTTCTTATATTATTATCATATTATATATTATTGTATTGTATATTATTATAATTTCTTACATGTACATAACACAGCACACATGCACATAAGGTCCAAGTGTCTGGGCTTCAGCTCTTCCCAGGGCCTAGGATATTAGAGGTATTATTATTATATATAATTATATTATATGCTTATATTATATAGTATTGTAATTCATTACATGTCCAAGTGTCTGGGGTTTGGCTCTCAATATCGAGCTCTTCCCAAGGGCCTGAGATTTTATTTATTTATCGTGTCAGGCAACCGAACAGTTGTATTACATTTCTGACAGAACAAACAAACATACAAAGACACATAGTCTGCAAGCTTGGTAGTTGATTAAATGTCCTTTGACCAGTAGCTGGCCACTTGGAGTGCTTCTGGTGTTGCCGCAAGAAGGTCCTCCATTGTGCATGTAGCAGGGATCAGGTTGCATTGCAGCAGGTGGTCTGTAGTTTGCTCTTCACACTCGCATATTGTGGATTCCACTTTGTAGCCCCATTTCTGGAGGTTGGCTCTGCATCTCGTGGTGCCAGAGCGCAGTCTGTTCAGCCTTCCAAGTCGCCCAGTCTTCTGTGTGCCCAGGGGGGAGTCTCTCATTTGGTATCAGCCATTGATTGAGGGTCTGGGTTTGAGCCTGCCACTTTTGGACTCTCGCTTGCTGAGGTGTTCCAGCGAGTGTCTCTGTAGATCTTAGAAAACTATTTCTTGATTTAAGTCGTTGGCGTGCTGGCTGATATCCGAACAGGGGATGGGCTGGAGATGTCACTGCCTTGGTCCTTTCACTATTGCTTGCTACTTCCCGGCGGATGTCAGGTGGTGCAATACCAGCTAAACAGTGTAATTTCTCCAGTGGTGTAGGGCGCAGACACCCCGTGATAATGCGGCATGTCTCATTAAGAGCCACATCCACTGTTTTAGCGTGGTGAGATGTGTTCCACACTGGGCATGCATACTCAGCAGCAGAGTAGCATAGCGCAAGGGCAGATGTCTTCACTGTGTCTGGTTGTGATCCCCAGGTTGTGCCAGTCAGCTTTCGTATGATATTGTTTCTAGCACCCACTTTTTGCTTGATATTCAGGAAGTGCTTCTTGTAGGTCAGGGCACGGTCCAGAGTGACTCCCAGGTATTTGGGTGGGCTGCAAAGAACGGGAAACCCAACTTTGCCACCAAAGTAGGAAAGAAACCAATAGCCAGACAACCAGAGATTGAGAACAACAACCTTCATGAACCCTTTACATCTACTGAATTGGCTCTCAATAAATGTAAAAATGGCAAAGCAGCTGGCCTGGATGATACTTTGGCCCAAAAGCAAGGTGCTGGCTGCTGGAACTGATGAACAACTGCACTGCATCCTGTCAGATCCCCAAAATCTGGAGGAAAGCAAGAGTCATCGCCATCTTGAAGCCAGGCAAAGACCGTAATGATCCAAAAAGCTATAGACCAATCTCCCTGCTGTGCCACCTCTACAAAGTTCTGGAGAGACTTATTTTGCATAGAATTACCGAAAAAATAGACCCATGTCTGATCCCACAGCAAGCTGGCCTCAGGAAAGGCAAAAGCTGCACATCGCAGCACATAGAAGATGGCTTTGAAAGGCAGCAGATCACAGGAGCTGTCTTCATAGACCTGTCCGCAGCTTATGATACTGTGAACCACCGCCTCCTCCTGAGAAAAATGTATAATATCACAAAGGACTACCACCTCACCCGCCTCATAGGAAACCTGCTACAAAACAGGAGCTTTTTTGTTGAGTTTCAGGGCCAGAGAAGCAGATGGCGGAAACAGAAGAACGGCCTGCCTCAGGGAAGCATGCTTGCCCCATCCATGTTCAACATCTACACAAATGACCAGCCACTGCCAGAAGGGACAGAGAGCTTCATCTATGCTGATGATCGTGCCATTACTGCTCAAGCAAGGAGCTTTAAGATATATGAGATATCTATATATATAAATCTGTTAGGTTGGTTCAACGGGACAGCAAAACTCTAAACCCCCCCAACGAAACTGCACCAAAATTGCCATGCCCTAAGGACAACCCACTCGGTACAAACTAATCCATTCAAAATTGAAAACAACACAACCACACACAGAAAAAACGGCAAAACAACTGAGCATGCGCACTGGCGCAAAGTCCCCAGCGCGTGCGCACACATGGCTGAACAGCCAACGCTCCCTCCGCACTTCCCTCCCTCCGTTCCCCCCGCCCCCTTCCCGACCACACACGCAACGCAATTTCACCCTTTGCCCAGGCTCGGGAAGCAGCAGCGCCACCGCTGAGTGCCGCAACCTTCCCTTCCCTGGAAAAAAAGCCCCAGCCGACGGGAAGAGCGCTCCGAGGCGCTGCCCGTCAGAGCGCGCTTGGAAAGCTACTGAGGCGAAACTCGCTCTTCCCTCTCGGCTCTTCCGCCTTCCCTCCATCCGCCCCCCCCCCTCCTTCTTGCCTTTTTGCCCACACACACAATGATGGATCCGGACCAAACTTGGCACAAGCACTCAATATGCCCAAATATGAACACAGATGGAGTTTGGGGGAAATAGACCTTGACATTTGGGAGTTGTAGTCACTGGGATACACAGTTGATCTACAATCAAAGAGCATTCTGAACCCCACGAACGACAGAATCGGGGCAAACTTTCCACACAGAACCCCCATGACCAACAGAAAATACTTAAGGCCATTCCGCCGGTACACACCCCCCCTCCCTCCCCTGCAACACACACACACACGCCGGTAACACACCCCCTCCCTTCCCCGCAACACACACACACACCGGTAACACACCCCCCCTCCCTTCCCCGCAACACACACACACCTGTAACACACACCCCCTCCCTTCCCCGCAACACACACACACACGCCACAACACGTCACCACCTCCTCCTCCTTCTTCTTCCCCAATCTTTCCTCCTCCCCCTCCAAACCCCGCCCCCTCCAAGCCCCGCCCCTTCCCGCCCTGTCCAAATCTATGTCCTCCCATCCTTCTTCCTCCAAACCCCACCCCCTCCAAGCCCCGCAGGGAAGGGGTGGGGCGAAGGGAGGGGCGTGTCTTCAAAGTCCCCTCCCTTGCCCCCCCCTTCCCTCCCTGACTCACTCCTTCCCTCCTCCCTCCCCCTCCGGAAAGACACGCCCCCTCCCTTCGCCGCACCCCTTCCCTCCGTGATTCACTCCGGACCAAACTTGGCATAAGCATTCAATACGCCCAAATATGAACACAGATGGAGTTTGAGGGAAATAGACCTTGACATTTGAGAGTTGTAGTTACTGGGATTATAGTTCCCCTACAATCAAGGAGCATTCTGAACCCCACCAACGACAGAATTGAGGCAAACTTCCCACACAGAACCCTCATGACCAACAGAAAATACTCAAGTTTACACACAAGCATAAAGAAGGGGGAGGAAGAAGGGATGCCAGAGAGAGAGAGAGAAAGAGGGGAAAGGAAGGAGTGTGCAAGAGGGAAAGAGGGTGAGGGAAGGAAGGAAGAGAGGCCAGGCAGAGACTTCAAAACTTACTAAAGGCCACAGCAACGCGTGGCAGGGCACAGCTAGTATATATATATTATTATTATCATTAGTATCATAATATTATATATTATTCATTTTACATGTACATAACAACATAGCACA